TATCCAGCGACTGTCAGGAAGCAATAAAGCTCGCTGGATGAAGAAAATATACTACCACTCTTTTGCGTCCTTGGTCACGTAGACATAGAGCGGAACTTGTTAGGCAAGGCAGAACCCAATAAATAGATTCTACCTATTAAAGAATTCATTGGTATGCTTTTAGCAGCTACATTTAAAAACAGATCGCGTTATGATGGGAAAAATCCTCGACCTGTTGCAAGTGCAGGCAATCTTGGTTCACCGTATAAAGGGGAATGGCTTATATTCTCTGAAAAAGAAGGTATCCTGACGGAATATTGTTAAGCAAAAAGATCAGTACTCCGTTCAAGAAGACTCTGCAGGAATGACAAGAAAAATACGCAATTCTCCATTTGTTTGCGATTGACATTTTGTAACCGCTTTCTGGCATGCAGCAACGACCAAATAAAAATCATAAAAATGTCAAACAATGTGTATAAAAAAGCTGCGGGATGAGAGTCTAATTTTCGGGGCTTAAATATGACAACACTCTCAGGACGGTAACTATTCCTACTTCTACTTGCCTATTAAATCCTTATTTTATTTTTTACATATTAATTTTTCAAGAATTGTCGTTCTTTCTGTTCAAAGGAAGATTAATAAAATATTATATTTTATTTTCATTTCAAAAATAATAAATAACATAATAATGGTAAAAGAACTTCGAATTTTTTAAATCCATTCATACAAAATAAGTTAGAACATATATTTACATTCAAATTAGGAATTTTTCTTGGAAATTTATAAATCAATAATCTGACGTCTTATTTACTAAAAACAAATAAATAGCATTTTAACGGTGCATAGAAATTTTGCACCAAAATTTGAAAGTCCAAATGAGTAGTAATCTCTTTATTAATTAATTAATGCCCAACTTTTTCAGCATTTATTATGTATGGCAATATGTCGATTATTACCGTTACTTAAACAGATGCAATGCGTTCAATTAATCTTCAGCTTAAATGGAATTAAACTCGTTAAAGTGATTGACAGATGGATGGGCAGCACTTGATGCTTGACATGCAAACAAACAAAACGAGTAACCCCAACAGCTTTGCAGCTTAAATTTTGTTAAAGGGAAAATCCCGCACACATCCCGTCCATCATCAATGAAGTAACATATTGTACATACATACAAACAGCAAATCTCCACTTAGGAACTGAATTTTGATGCGAATCTTCTGCCTCGATCGATCGCTCGGCAGTAATTCGTACTGTAAATTTGTGCAAAATCAAAGTTCATTAACGAACATTTTGTTTAAACAACAACAAAAAAAATAAGAAAAGAAAACACTTGCATATGTACATACTCGCATTGGTACATAAATAATTTTATAAATAAACTTAGTTTGCTTTTAGTCACATTGCTTTTGATATTGTTTACTATGTATGATAACCGTAATAATAATTACCTTTTTAACTTCTATTGTTGTTGGTACTTGTTCAACGCCAAGATGTTTGCTTTATTTAGTTGACACTAATGTTAATGTTTACATTGATGCATCACCACTCAACGGTGTTATGTCAATGTACACAAACTTTTGTAAATATGTATGTCTATATTAATGCATTTAGACTGATATACGTCATAAGTGTCTTAACGTTGACTGTTGCTTAGAAGAATTAAGGAAAAAGCTTGTTACAGCAAATTGGAGAGAAAAAGTTGATTACTCAACTTTAGTCGCGCGACTTAATATCATTCAAGCATTTGACATTTATTAAATCAATTTGATGACGTTTCTATAATGAACATTAATTAGGTTCAAAGTACTGTTTTCCTGTCTTCTCTCACGCGTGAGAACGTTTTATTGTTTGCTAGTATTTATTGTAGCAATTTTTTTTGTGATTCGTATGATATTAATTTCTGGTATTTGAAATTATTGTAAACTTAATAAATGGTATCTAATCATTAGTGATAATTAGCCGTTGATAAAAAATCGAGGTTCTAGACAATGTATGTAATTACGTCATAAGTATAGCAAATAAATCGCTAAAATTTAATTAGAAAAAGAAAAAAATAATAATAAAAAATAATACAAAATTCATAAAAAATAAAACAAAATTAATAAAAAATAAAAAAATTCATAAAAAATAAAACAATTAATAAAAAATAAAAAAATTAATAAAAAATAAAAAAATTAATAAAAAATAAAAAAATTAATAAATAATAAAAAATTTAAAAAAAAATTTAAAAATTGTAAAAAAAATAACAAAACTAAAAAAATTCAAAAAATGAGAAATAAACAAGGAACGAAAAAAATGTACAAAAAATTAAAAACAAAAAACTGGAAATTGAAAAGTAACAATAGCAAAAGAATCCTGAAAATTAAAAATGAAATAAAAATTTTAAATATTAGGAAAACCAACGTAATAAACAACGTCTAAACGTTTAAATGTAAATTATAAAATATAACTAAATAAAAAAATAACAAAACTGTAGAAAAGCAAAAATAACAAAGCAAAAATAAAAAATAACAAAAATTAAAAATAACAAAAATTAAAAATAACAAAAATTAAAAAAAATTTAAAAAAAATTAAAAAAACAAATTAAAAAAAAATAATAAAAAAAAATAATAAAAAAAAAATTTAAAAAAAAATATTTTAAAAAAATTTAAAAAAATATAAAAAAAAAATTAAAGAAAAAAATTATAAATAAATTTAAAAAAGATTAAAAAAAGATTAAAAAAAAATTAAAAAAAATTAAAAAAAAATTAAAAAAAAATTAAAAAAAATTAAAAAAAAAATTTTCAAAAAAAAAAATGAAAAAAAAAATTAAAAAAAAAATAAAAAAAATTAAAAAAAAAAATATTTAAAAAAAAATATTTAAAAAAAAATTTTTTAAATATTTAAAAAAAACAATTTAAAAAAAAAATAAAAAAAAAATTATAAAAAAATTAAAAAAATTAAAAAAAAATTAAAAAAAAATTAAAAAAAATTAAAAAAAAAATTAAAAAAATTTAAAAAAAGAATTTAAAAAAATTTAAAAAATAATAAATAAAAAAGAAACGAAAAAAATTACCAAAAAAAAATTTAAAACACACAAATCGGAATCGTGAAAAATAAAAATAAAACAAATGTAATGATCAAAGTTAAAATATAAAACATAATTAAAAATAAACAAAAATAACAAATAAGAAAAATTACAAATAACAAACATAAAAAAAAACAAATCCAAAATAAAAAAAAAACAAAAAAATAGCAAGAAATAAAAAAATAGCAAAGGAAATACAATAAATAAAAAAATAAGATAGTAAAAAAAATATAAAATAAAAGACAAAGGGAAAAAATAAGAAATAAAAAAGGTAAAAAATGAAACTAAAATATGATAAAACTCAAATGTAAATAAAATAAAAAAGATAAGATCGAACAGCAAAACGGAAAAATGAAATAAATAAAAAAGTAAAACCAAAAAAACATTAAATTAAAAAGTGAAACTAAAAATCACTACCAAAAAATTAAAATCTTTGTACTTTTTACAAATAGTACTAAAAAAAAGAATTATAAATAAAAAAAATAAAATGTTCAAAAATAAAAAATTTAAAACTAAAGAAATATAATAAATAAGAATATAAATAACGAAAAAAATTAAAAAAATTAAAAAAATATGAAAAAAGTGATAAAAAATATGAGAAAAGAAATAAAATTATAAAAAAAATAAATAAAAATATGAAAACAGAAATTATAAATCTAAAAAAATTTATTCCAAAAAAGTAAGATGCAAACGAATTATAATTAAAGCGAAATAATAACAAAACCAAAAAATACTATGATTAAAAGCAAACAAATTGAGTTAAATAGAATAAGATAAGAAGAGTAAAAAAATATAATTATTACCAAATATAAAATGAAAGAAGAATGAAAAAAAAACGATAATGGTGAAAAAATCATAAAATAAATACTTTAAATAAAGGAAAGAAAATAAAATAAAATAGAATGAAATAATAAAGTTAAAATTAAATAATTTGCTATAGAAAAACCAGTTGGGAACAAATAGGAATAGAATAAAATAAATTGAAATACAGTAAATTTAAATAAAATAAATTAAAATGAAATAAAATTACTTGATATAAAGTAAAAAGTAAAATGTAATAATTTGAGTAAAAAAAAAATTAAAACAAAACGAAAATCAATTAAACATTACTAACATTAGTTTTTGTAATTTTTTGTCTTAAATAGATTGCATTTACTATACTTAAATACATATGTATGTAAACTATTATTTTATTGTTGAAATGTATCGAAATAATTCCTATTAACGCGCTTGGCAGCTCTAAATTTAGCGTCTTAAGAGAGTAAGCTCAACTTATAAAAACCGCTTGCTCAGTTGTTTGACATCAAACCCATCAAACACAATCAGCTGATTTACTCGCTGTAGATACGAGTAAAAACGAAGAGCAAGTTAACAAGCCACCTAATGAAATGCAATTTATTTTTTTTTTCTTCGTCTACTTTACTTGCTGTTCTTGTAGCTAGAGTTAGGCTGCAACTACCCAACTCACTCTCCAGCCGTCCATAACTGACGACGTTAGTAGTGAAATACATACACGAGCTATCGACGCTGCTGAGAGCGGCGAAATGTTGCCAGCTGCCTGTGTGTTTGCACACTTTTGAACAAATTCATAATTTTCGTCAACGAATTTCATAATTTATTTGCTTTAACATAAACACAAGGCAAATATACATGATCTATATAGTAACAAATAATTAGTTACGCATTTAGTTTTCATTTCTTTTGAACAAAACTACGCATTATCTTCGATTATTTAATGTTACTTTAAGAAAGGCTATACTGGCAACCTTGTATAGCAACGAAAAATGAGCCGAGCCGGTTTTACGGAAAAATCAAAACTTCGTTGGTTTCTGCGACACAAACGTCAGCAACGCTATGGTAAATCGGTGACAACTTTGTGTTTACATGGCGCTCTCATAAGATAGGTTACTATGGACGGCTGGTACGCGCGTTGGGTAGTTGCAGCCTTAGCGTAAGCTAAGCCATTCTCAGTATTGATAGTGTGTGCTTCATACCAACGGTTGAAACATTTTCAAGCCCGATACCACAAACTAATACATACATACGTTTACATTTAACACCTTTTGTTTGGAGAGCATTTACGTTACACGTTGTCTCAGAAACTAGAATTGGTTTTTGAGTATTAGGGAGTGGAGCGCATAGTGGCAATTAGCACTCAATCTTTGTATCTGGTATCGCTCATATTTCACTCAAATTTTAATTTCATGCTCGTGGCAGAACTGAATATTATATGAGGCATTATAGATTTATATTGTTGAAAACATTTAAATGAAGAAGTACTTCAAAACTTTGGAAAGTCTATCTTCCAGCTTAGGCTATTTTTTTCCAAAAAGTCTATATTTTAAATTTAACTTAAAAAATACTCCACGAATTCTGGGTTGTTTTGGTATAAGGACAGGAATGTAGCGGTAACCGTAAGACCGCAGTTGATGTCTTAAACCCCTAAACAACCGTAGTTTGATAAAGTCTTGGTATTCGTGCCATTTATTTCCTTTTTTTTGGTCGAGGTTTATCTTGAGTAATATAAATATAATAAGTTGATTTTAAGGGGCATGTAAGGAGGTGGTTAGTGTCGTGCAGGGTTTCATTGAATGCAGTATGTCGGGGTTAAGTCTTGATAAGTAAGGTTCAAGTCGGATCTCTAGAGGCAGGTCTTCGTCTGCTATAGTCCCCGGCGTACAAAGGAGAGCAGCAACGTTTCTTTGTATTTTCCTAACGATTTAAAAATATTGTTTCGTCTCTTTTCTTTTGTGGCAATTGCAAACGTATGCGAATTTTTGTAACTTCGGGTTGTTAGTTGTCGGAATTTTTACGCAATCGTCTTTCACATCCATTTCGACTGTGTACTCCTTCAACCAGCTAGTGAAAAAAAATGCCGAGGATTGCGTAGGTGGTAGCTATAGTTGTCATGCGGTGAATAAGTAGGACAGTTCGGCGAGATAGCAGTACGATTTTTCATTGAAGGTGTCTTGGGAACAGCGCACCATTTTTGCCTGAAGTAGGAATTTAAAGTTGAATTGAAATTGAAATGTTAGCAGTTCAAATAAAAATATATATTTGTCTTTTGTATTTCAAAGTTAAAAAATCGGAATCTGAATTACCGAATAACTCGATCAACATTTATCAAAATTTTGAAATTCCATCGAAAATTATTTGATCCCTGCATACTACTTTCCAATGATTTCAAAATCCACAAACATAAATTACTCATTTAAATTCAAAACTTGTAAATTTTTTACTGTGCACTCTTTTCGAAATCGGTAAGTGGCAAACCGAGTGTTTGTATGCCAAAACCCGGTTTTGAACAAGCTCACATGCAGCTTTACGGCTCAAAAGCCGTGCTCTGCAATACCAATTGAGCTGAACATTCACTGCAGTGGTATAATGTAACGGTTCGAACTGCTCGGTTATGCATCGGTGTGAGTATTAGCAAATACACGAAAAAAGATGGAGAGGAAACGGTTAAATCTCTCATGTTAAGCCGCAAACGAATCAGTTGTCTGCTTAACGGTGAGGAAAACGGTTGTGTGAACTGAGCAATAAACGCAAAAACGCTACAACGTACTAATAAATCGTGACATTTTTTCGATTACTAATTTTTAAGTATGATATATTAGGCGTTATAATATATTATTTATTAACATTATTATTAATTGCTTATATTGAAAAAAAAAAACTCGTTGGACAATTTTTATGTCTAGCTATGCGTAGTTTTAGTTTTAAACTACAAAAAGCAGCAAAAGTCGCGAGTTTTCAACGAGTGAACGCACATACGAGTACATAAATATAAATCAATGCAATACAAAAACAAAAAAATATTTAAATTTGTATAAAATAAACTAAAGTGCTTTAGTGCAATATAACAATTACTATGAACTTCTTTCTGGTATTCGGTTCGGCTTAATGCGTTCGCCAGCGAGCGGAAATGTGGTGCATTGGTGCGCAATGCAACAATAATTCACCTGATCGCCGTTTCTATTTCTTGCATTCGCTCGCTTGTCTATTGCCCATTTCCGTTTTAGTGCGCTATTGAATTTGCGTGTGTATTTGTGTGTGTTTCTGTATATGTTCCAACTACTTTTGTTGTAGCACTGGCTATTATGCTGGCCCACGAGCTGAGTGTTAAAAACAATGCATAAATAAATAAATAAATAAAAATAAAATACATTATTAAAAAAGAACTGATTATCACTAACACAACTACACATTTTGCATGGTTGGTTGAAGTTGTTTGTTAGTTGATTAGCCACCGAATTGGGAGTGTGTTTGTGAAATGTAGTTTACAATGTTGCGATCGGCATGGCAGCGCCACAGGTGTTTAAGTCACATTTTTGACGTATTTTCGTATAATTTGCTTTGAGTTATTATTTGTTTTCAAGAGTTGGAAACACATTGCACTAATTACACTATTGCAAGCCTGAATGCAAATTTACGCACAACAAATGCAGATGTTCATGTTGTAAAATCACCGAGCTTTTCAATGACCTCACTAATTATGCGCTAGCGAACAGATAACAGTATTGCAACAGGTGCCTTATTAGTCCTAGATAATAAAAATAAATTTCTTTTATTAAAATTGAATGTTAAAAAGTTTTGAAAGCTAGTAATTTTAATATTAATAGACACGTTTCCCTTGTTTCTAAGTTTGTTTTCAAATTTGAATTCGGGTTTTGGCAAATATAAATTTTTATTGCTTTCTAAATATACATTTTTGGTGATAAAAATATATGTTTACGATTTCTAGATTTTGTACTTGTTGTTAATTTTTTTTTATAACCGAGTGAATCATTTAAATAAATGAAAATACAGTGAAATTGTTTAAAGTAAAGACATATTAATAGAAAAAATAGAACAAAAAAGAGAAACCAAAAAATAAAAATTTTACCTGTACTTTTTACGTAGAAAAATTTTTAAGTAATTTTTTTTTTGATTTTAAATTATTTATATTTCTTATATTCTTATTTTTGCTGCTTTAAATATTTTTACTTTTTTATTTTGGTTTATTTTTATATTTTACCGGTTTTATTTTTTTTTCTATCAGATTTATTTTATTAGTATTTTTTTTCTTATTGAACTCGTTGTCTGTTTATATTTTAACATTATACATATAATATTTTTTCTAATTTCTTCGTATGCATTTTAGCATATCTGCCTTAATAATCTTGATTATTATGGTGCCTTTCGTTTGCAAATTATGCATTTGTGAATTGCAAACCTAATCTTTCATAAATTTTAAAGTCTCTTATTTTTCCGCCTTCAGTTATTTTAAATATATTCTATATATATAGTTTTTGGTAATGTTGTTTAATTCCCTTTTATTTGATTCTTTTATTTAATATTAATTTTTTTTTTATTTTTTTGTTTTATTTCATCGTTTTGTTCCTTTATTTTATTTCATTTCGATTTAATTTAAATTCTTTTGTATTGTTTATTTTGTTTTTGTTTTCTATTTCTTAGTTTTAATTTCTTTTATTGAATTAAATTTTATTTTATTTTAATTTATTTATTTTGTTTTTATTTATTTTATTTCTATTTTTTCTTAATTTTATTTTATTAATAGTTTTTCTTATCTATTATATAATTTTCTTTTGTTTTTTTTTATTTCTAATATTTTATTTATTTCATTTCATTTTTCTTTATCTCTTTTTAATTTTCCAATTTTACCACTACTATGACCCACTGCCTGTATTTTTCCATATGCATTTTTTGTGCGTTTTTAATTATTTTCCAGCAAAGCCACAAACAAAACTGGTTAAATGTTGAAAAAGTACTGAAAAACAAGAGACTACAAACATTATTCCTTCCCTTGCTGTTGCACTGCGTGTTTCCAAGGGCCACAGCCGCGAGCAAACGAATTTGTATTAAATTTTTGTTGTGAGTTTTTTTTTTGCATTCATTTTTTGCCTCGGCTCACAAGCCTGGCTTCCTCACGCAAAGCTCGTACAAAATCAGCATGAACTCAATGCCAGTGTGTCTCTTAGCCAGAGTCTCATGCTGTGACGCCGTACCCTTTTCCGCCCAACATAGCGCACGGTGTTTACCTCCTTTTTCCATTTACTCGTATATAGTCAGATCAGGCTTGGCTGGCACCAGCCGCCACAGCCAACCAAGCTACCAACCTAACAACATCAGCTTGGTATTTGCTTGCTGGTTTTCGTGTTAGCTAACAATTGAACTGCTCGAGCTATCGACAAGAATTGCAGAATTGTTGCCAAAGAGCACGCGAGTTTACTTGTACATAAACGTTTTGTAGTATTTGTTATGTTCAAATATGTATATACGTTGTTTAGTGTGCCCTGTGGGAATTTGAAATGGATGCTTTCAAATAAACTTGCTAAATGAATAATTCATGAAGTTTTAGTATTTATTTAATTTTTTTTATAATTTTTTTTTTTTTGTTTTTCTATAACAGTTTTGACATTTATAAAAATTAATAAATAAAAAAAAATTTATTTGAAAGTAACACTATGACATTTCTCGCCAGACCTTTTTTAAAGTTCAACATTCAGCTCGACTTAGTCACCTATTTCAACAGTCAGCCAGCCATTCAGTCAATCGAAGCTCTTTGTTCAAAAACTATACATTGCATAGCGTGTTCAAAAAATACACACATGCATACACCTGAAATTGCATTTACTTCGAACTAAGTATGTATATTTGTATGTTACTTTATTACTTTTATTTTTGTTTGCATTGCTTTGTCTTAAGAATGTGATAAATTGTGTGAAAACCAAGCCACCAAGCAAACAGATACAAGAAAATAATAGAAAATCAAATGAAAATGAAGAGAATAATAATAAACTACACAAACACAAACATTAAATAAGTACATTTACAAAGAAAATGTATGTGTTAATGAGCTTGTAGAAAAATAATTGCAAAACTGGCTTTAAAGAAAAATAATAATAATTATTATTATTATCTATGTACTTATCTGGTACATAGTGAAATAAATAATAAAGAAAAAAATTTTCTCCGTTTACAACAGGAAAAAATAAAACACAGTCCTTTGTGCCATTCCAAGTAGTGCAACAAATTTTAGCAACACTTTGCCAAACCACATGTTTATAACCAAATGTTGCTAAAGTGCCAAACAACAATGAATGTGAATATACATATATATAAGTGAAAATACACAAAATTGCATAGTCACCTGTACAAGTGTGTGTGTATTTATATGTAAGTGATGGTGATGAGTAAACACACTCACACCGAATTTATTCGCAAACGAAATTGAAAATAAAGGAAATAAATACATATTAATAAAATACTGACGAAAAAGTGTAACAAAACTTTCAACACAAACAACAAGCAATTTAAAAATTTTGTAAGTGAAAATTATTTTAAAATTCTACAACTGCAACAACATTAATCGTCTTTGGAACAATAATAATACTTCAATGTCACAGCAGCCTGCAAGAAGCCAGTGGCAATAGCAAGAAAAATACTAAAAGAAAACAATAAAATAGAAGCAGTTTAACAGCAACAATAAGAAAGAGGTAATTATTATGCATTCATTGTAGCTAGCAGTCTGAAGCAATGTCTCAAGAGCTATTGCTGTGAGACGTAGGAAAAGAAATAAGAAAAGGTCCGTTGAATTTTTTATGCCACCAGCAGTACATAAGAAGGAAAAAGGGAATGGGAATATAAATAATAAATTGAAGGAAAATGTTGAAAACTTAATTACATAGTTATGAAAATTCAAAAAAAAAAATATAACTAGCAAAAGGTTAAAAGTAAATGAAATTTATTTAAAAAATAAGAAAAACAAAATTTAAATAACAAAAATATAAGTGAAAAAAAGACTGATTCAATTAAACAGTAAAATATAACATGACAGAAAACTATACAGAGCTTAAAAATTAAATAAAAAAATAAATATACAAAAGATTGAAAATTAAATAAAATCAATTAAAAGACTAAAAACTAAGTGGAAAATTAATTAACCAACAAATAAAAACAAAATTAAATAATTAACACATTATAAGTATTTTTCGATAACATTTATTCTTCGATAACAATTATTATTCGATAACAATTATTATTCGATAACAATTATTATTCGATAAAAAATATTTTTCGATAACAAGTATTCTTCAATAACACTCTATATAAAAATAATCTTATTACAGATTTTAAATAATAATTAAGCTTCGATAAAGATTACTTTTTGGACGAAATATTTTCCGATTTATACTTCTTTTAAATTAAAAATTACTTTTCGGGAAAAATAAATTTTCGATAAAAATTGTTCTTCGTTGTAAATAATTTTTTGTTCAGGTTACTATTCCATGACAAAATTTTAAATTAAAACCTAAATATCAAAATCGAAAATTAACTAAACAATTAAAAATTGATTAGGCAAATAATAGTAAACCAAAAAAATAAAAATTATTTAAAATAAAAACAAATTTTTAACAATATGAAAATATCTAAGAAACAAAATAAAAGAAAAAAAATAAAATAAAATAATACAGTAAAAAATTAATAAATTAAAAAGATACAAAGAAATAAAAAGTTAATAAAAGGAATAAAACAAAATTAAAAATAATATAAAATAACAAAGATAATAAAAAAATAGCAAAAAATTATTAAATATTAAAAAGGATATAAATAATAATTAAATAATAATAAAAAAATAATATAAACATAATAGATTATAATAAAATAATAAATATTAGAAAAATAAATACAATAATAAAAAAATAATTATGAAATAACAAATAATAAAAAAATTATTAATAAAAAATAAAAAAATAAATTAAAAAAAAATAAAAGAGTAAAATAATCAAAAATAAAAACAATAATAAGTAATATTAGAAAATAAAAAAAATAATAGAAAATAATGAAAAATAATAAAAAGTAGTAAAATAATAGTAAAATATAATGGTAAAATAATAAAGAAATAATAATAATAATAAATAAACAAAATAATAAAAAAAAATAAAAATAATTAAAACTAAATAAAAATAGTTTAAAAAAAATGAAAATAATTAAAAATAAATGGAAATAATTAAAGTATAATAATATAATAAAAAACAAAACCAAATTAAAAAAATTATGAGGGATAATAAAAAGCATGAATGAATAAATTAAATAAATTAAATTAAAATGAAAAAAATTAAGTAGAAAACTAAAAAATATAGATATCAAATAGGTACAACTTTTAATAAATCAACACAAAATAAATAAATAAGCAAATAAATAATTTCAATTTCAGCTAAAATTTTAATTTTTACGTTACTGTATGCGTTTGCTTAACACATCAAGTGAAGCCTTTACTGCTTGCTTTTTTGCTGTTGTGGTCATAAAATTTGTCAACAGAACTTTCTATTTTCTTTGCTGTTTCGTCGCCACGTTCGCCGTTTGTTGTTTGCAAATTATATTATTTTAATTTATTTATTTATTTTTTTTACTCTTTATATAAATACGCACACTGCCATGCACAAATGCACATAAGGAACTCGTATACTCGTATAAGAAAGGCCGTTTACTTTCTGCTGGTTTGATGAGTTATCCATCGTTTCATTCTACCTTCAAACCCATAACATTGCCTGCTGTCAAAATTAAATATATAAAATCGCATACTACTGTTATCATGCATATATGTATGTATGTGTTTGCTGCCAGTTGTTTTACGATGTCAAAGACACGTTGTTACCGTTAGAATTTTAATCATTCGAAATGCGGTTTAATGTTTGTATGTTTGTATACATATTTTTACAGGTGCACAATTTTTTCTTATAAATATTTTTATCACTTGCTCATTTGAAAGCTAACAGTATTATTTTTTTTTGAGCAACCTGGTCACATTATTATTTTCCTTCTATTGAAATTCCTATTGCCTATTTGTTTATTTACAATATGTTAGTTCCTTTTCTTGTCTCTTTTGCTTACCAATCTTTTTTGTTTTATTATTCTTGACATGCAATAAATCTATTCACATGTGTGTGCGTGTGTACATATATTTGCTTGTCTGCTTGCCACCAAACGCGTTTCGGTCTTTGTATTACATATTGGCTGTGTTCATTTCATAAATTCTTGGAGCTGATTGAATACCAATACGACGTTCGTTCGGTACGTATACTTTTCGCGTACAATTTTTCTAAACGTGTAGAATCAATAAATTACTATAATTTCGTGACTAAACGCATTTTTAGCGATTACATTAGAGCTCATAACGTAACATATGAGTACTTTGCCAAATGCAAATGAGTGTGCATTGTTTGTGTTCTGTATTATGCAATTCAGGTTTATATATGTATCTATTTTGTAACCGAATTCGGAAAAAGTTTAGTTAATTCCAAAATCAGTAGAAAATTAGTTACTATGGGCAGTAATCACTAGTATTTGTTGAATGATGCATTAATAAATAAATGTGTTTGTCAAAAATGTGTTGAGAAATGGGACCTTTTGAAAATTGTATTATTATTATTATTACATAAGTCACGAAATTTAATTAAAAATTAAAGAATTTTAAAAAACTTGCTACTTTTTCTAAACAAATTTTCAGAAGTTGGGTCGAATTACATTCCATATTTTTCCAAGGCTGTTATGAGATGTCAACATTTTTTTTTTTTTTTTATATTTTAAGATAAAAGGAAATCGTAAAACGGCGTTTTTGAAAAAAAAAAAAATATTTTTCAATAAAAATTTCTATATGTAATAATACGATAAAAAAGTTATAGTTAAGAATTATCGATTACAATGGAATGTCAAATTTACTACACGAATATTTTAATGGTAAATAAAACTTATTTGACAAACTTAAACTTACAACAAAAAGCGTGCTTAAGTATATATAAAATAACAGAAAAAGAACAAAGTAATAATATTTATATTGACAGAAATATGTTTACCGCTAAAAATAGCATAATTCCAAAATAAAAGAAATTAGATATTTACATATTTGTTTTTACTAAGTATGTGTTTTTACAAATAAAATCGAGGTTCAACATCCTCACGGTGTAATGTTAGCTAAAAATTGTATATCCATGTTGTACACACTCTTTAGTTTTCTTGGTATAACCGAAGGTTTGTTTTGTTAACGCGGTTGTTTGACCTTTAATTACAAGTACAAATGGGCTGTTGTTATTTCACAGAAGTGCGCATACTTGTATGCATGTGATAAGTATTAGTATATGTATTTATTTACTTATTTATTTATCTAACCCTACAATTTCCTAATGTCTGTTCAATGCTGCGAAGGCGTACTGACTTTTGGCGTCTAAGTAGTATAGTTCCGCTAATTCACTTAGAATATAGAATATAATACGTAACCTACATGTTGACACTCAACGTGAGTAATTTTGTATTCTGGAATATTTTTTCCTTCTATTTTCTTTTATTTTTATAGCTTTGCCGCTGTAACCTCATGCCTACAGACGCATTAATTGCATTTTGTTGAAAAGGAATTTGCTAATTTGTTTGTTTAAATACTCTAGAATTTATCTATGTTTACGTGACTTGCCCTAAATATTTCAACCCTGTACTCATTTAGCTATATCAAAGTATATTTTCAAGCATTTTTGCGCATACGCATACATATGTACATACTTGGAAAGGCAGAGATAACGCACCTTCGACGCCTTTACGTAATATTTCTGTTTTTTTGATTTATTTCACTACCAATTAATGTTCTACCTTACTGTTCTTTATTTTATTAATTCTTTATTTCTACGGGTTTGTTTCAACACACAATTCCAGTTTTTTTTTTATTAATTTTTTCTTTTGTTTTTGTATCTGCTATTGTTCGTGGCGAAAAATACCGCTACAGCTTTAAATGTTTCGTATTTATATTTATATGTATATAATTGCATTTTTATTGTCTCATGTCTACCCATATACGTTACATATAGGAGTATATGTATTGCTGTTTTATTCTCTTTATTATTATTATTATGGTATTTTTGAATTGTTTGACAATTCAGTCCCATTAGGCTTGATGATAAATGAGTCACAAGAGCGTAGAGGTGTGAGCGTTTTTCGAGCCTTACATATTGGTTGAAGAATTAAAAGCTTCATTTGTGTACGCATTTATTTACTCCTGTGTATGTTTGTATAAAGGCAAGCAATTTCTACAAAATATCAATTGGTGAAAAGCTAAAGATGAGCCGAGGAACGAATCACACATGCTTTCAATTTACTCAATTATTAATCGATAAAAATTATTTTTCGATAAAAATTATTCGATAAGAATTATTATTAGAAAAGAGTTATTATTCGATAACGCTAATTTTCGATGACGATAACAATTATTTTTTGTTGACAAATACTGTTCGATGATAATTCTTTTTTATAATATTAAGCTTCGATAAAAATTACTTTTTGACAAAATCTGCATTTTGGTAGGAAAATATTTTTCGATTAAAACTTCTTTTAAATGTAAATTTATTTTCAAAAAAAAAATTTTTTTTTCGAAAAAAATTACTTCGTTAAAAATAAATCTTTAAATAAATTTTTTTTCTGTATAAATTATTTTTTGTTCAGATTACTCTTT